ACAAAAGGGCCACTGCCCTCAGTCCTACGTCGCTCGCACGTCAAGTCCCCCCAAAAAACAAAAAGGCCACCGCCCTCAGCCCTTGCGTCGCTCGCACGTCAAGTCCCTCAAAAAATAAAAAGGCGACCGCCTTCAGCCCCTGCATCGCTCGCCCTTCAATTTCCTCAAAAAAAAAACAAAAAGGCCACCGCCCTCTGTCCCTGCGTCGCTCGCACGTCCATTCCCTCAAAAAACAGAAAAACACACATAAAGGCTGCCGCCCTCAGCCTTTTTGTTTGTTTTTTTAAGGGAAATCACTCAAAAAACAAAAAGGCTGCTGCCTTTAACCCCTGCATCGTTCGCACGTCAAGTCTCTCAAAAAACAAAAAGGCCGCCGCCCTCAGCCCTTGCGTCGCTCGCACGTCAAGCACCTCAAAAAACAAAAAGGCCACCGCCCTCAGCCCCTGCCTCGCTCGCACGTCGTCTCAAAAACAAAAACACGACTCAAAAATCTAAAAGGCTGCCGCCCTCTGTCCCTACGTCGCTCGCACGTCCAGTCCCTCAAAAAACAAAAAGGCCTCTGCCCTCAGCCCCTGCATCACTCGCACGTCAAGTCCCTCAAAAAACAAAAAGACCACCGCTCTCAGCCCTTGTGTCGCTCGCACGTCAAGTCCCTCAAAAAACATAAAGGCCACCGCCCTCAGCCTCTGTGTTGCTCGCACATCACGTCCCTTAAAGAAAAAAAGCCACCGGCCCTCAGTTCTACGTCGCTCGCACGTCAAGTCCCTCAAAAAAACAAAAAGGCCACCGCCCTCAGCCCCTACCTCGCTCGCACGTCAAATCCCTCAAAAAACAAACAAAAAGGCCACCACCCTCAGCCCCTGCATCACTCTCACGTCAAGTCCCTCAAAAAACAAAAATACCACCGCTCTCAGCCCTTGTGTCGCTCGCACGTCAAGTCCCTCAAAAAACATAAAGGCCACCGCCCTCAGCCTCTGTGTTGCTCGCACATCACGTCCCTTAAAACAAAAAAGCCACCGCCCTGAGCCCTCGCGTCGATCGCACATAAAGTCCCTCAAAAAACCAAAAGGCCGCCGCGCTCAGCCCCTGCGTCGCTGGCACGTCACCTCCCTCAAAAAAACAAAAAGGCCTCCATTCCTCAGCCCCTGCGTCGCTCACACGTCACGTCCTCCCAAAAAAATAAAACGGAAACTGACTCAAAAAACAAAAAGGCTGCTGCCCTATGCCCCTGCATCGCTTGCATGTCAAGTCTCTCAAAAAACAAACAAAAGAGGGCACCGCCCTCTGTCCCTGCGTCGCTCACACGTCCAGTCCCTCAAAAAACAAAAAGGCCTCTGCCCTCAGCCCCTGCATCACTCGCACGTCAAGTCCCTCAAAAAACAAAGAGGCCACTGCCCTCAGTTCTACGTCGCTCGCACTTCAAGTCCCTCAAAAAACAAAAAGGCCTCTGCCCACAGCCCCTGCGTCACTCGCACGTCAAGTCCCTCAAAAAACAAAAATGCCACCACACTCAGCCCCTGCGTCGCTCTCTCGTCAAGTCCCTCAAAAAACAAAAAGGCCAGTGCCTTCAGTTCTACGTCGCTCGCACGTCAAGTCCCTCAAAAAACAAAAAGGCCACCGCTCTCAGCCCTTGCGTCGCTCGCACGTCAAGTCCCTCAAAAAATAAAAAGGCCACCGCCCTCAGCCCTTGCTTCGCTCGCATGTAAAGTCCCTCAAAAGACACAAAAAGGCCACCGCCCTCAGCCCTTGCGTCGCTCGCACGTCAAGTCCATCAAAAAATAAAAAGGCCACCGCCTTCAGCCCCTGCGTCGCTCACACTTCAATTTCCTCAAAAAACAAACATAAAGGCTGCCGCCCTCAGCCTTTTTGTTTGTTTTTTTGAGGAAAATGACTCAAAAAACTAAAAGGCTGCTGATCTTACGTCGCTCGCACGTCAAGTCCCTCAAAAAAACTAAAAGGCCACCGCCCTCAGACCCTACCTCGCTCGCACGTCAAGTCCCTCAAAAAACAAACAAAAATGCCACCACCCTCAGCCCCTACATCACTCGCACGTCAAGTCCCTCAAAAAACAAAAAGGCCACTGCCCTCAGTTCTAGGTCGCTCGCACGTCAAGTCCCTCAAAAAAACAAAAAGGCCACCGCCCTCAGCCCCTACCTCGCTCTCACGTCAAATCCCTCAAAAAACAAAAATACCACCGCTCTCAGCCATTGTGTCGCTCGCACATCACGTCCCTTAAAAAACATAAAGGCCACCGCCCTCAGCCTCTGTGTTGCTCGCACATCACGTCCCTTAAAAGAAAAAAGCCAAAGCCCTGAGCCCTCGCGTCGCTCGCACGTCAAGTCCCTCAAAAAACCAAAAGGCCGCCGCCCTCAGCCCCTGCGTCGCTGGCACGTCACCTCCCTCAAAAAAACAAAAAGGCCTCCGTCCTCAGCCCCTGCGTCGTTCACATGTCACGTCCTCCCAAAAAAATAAAACGTAAATTGACTCAAAACACAAAAAGGCTGCTGCCTTCAGCCCCTGCATCACTCGCACGTCAAGTCCCTCAAAAAACAAAAAGGCCACCACACTCAGCCCCTGCGTCGCTCTCTCGTCAAGTCCCTCAAAATACAAAAAGGCCACTGCCCTCAGTTCTACGTCGCTCGCACGTCAAGTCCCTCAAAAAACAAAAAGGCCACCGCCCTCAGCCTCTGTGTTGCTCGCACATCACGTCCCTTAAAACAAAAAGGCCTCTGCCCTCAGCCCCTGCATCACTCGCACGTCAAGTCCCTCAAAAAACAAAAAGGCCTCTGCCCACAGCCCCTGCGTCACTCGCACGTCAAGTCCCTCAGCCCTTGCGTCGCTCGCACGTCAAGTCCCTCAAAAAATAAAAAGGCCACCGCCCTCAGCCCCTGCGTCGCTCGCACTTCAATTTCCTCAAAAAACAAACATGAAGGCTGCTGACCTCAGCCTTCTTGTTTGTTTTTTGAGGGAAATTACTCAAAAAACAAAAAGGCTGCTGCCCTTAACACCTGCATCGCTCGCACGTCAAGTCCCTCAAAAAACAAAAAGGCCACCGTTCTCAGCCCTTGCGTTGCTCGCACGTCAAGTCCTTAAAAAAAAAAGGCCTCAGCCCCTGCGTCGTTCGCACGTCAAGTCCCTCAAAAAACAAAAAAGCCACTGCCCTCAGCCCTTGCGTCACTCGCACGTCAAGTCCCTCAAAAAACAAAAAAGCCACCGCCCTCAGCCCTTGCGTCCCTTGCATGTAAAGTCCCCCAAAAAACAAACAAAAAAAGCCACCGCCCTCTGCCCCGTGTCGCTCGCACATCAAGTCCCTCAAAAAATAAAAAGGCTTCTGCCCTCAGCTCCTGCGTCACTCGAACATCAAGTCCCTCGGACAGGTGCATCCCCAAATTAATAAGACGGCAGCGGTTGCAACTTGTCCGAGACTTAAGACTAAAAAGGAGGTGAGACAGTTCTCGGGCTGGCGGGATATTACAGAAGGTTTGTGCCTAATTATTCGGACCTCACCAGCCCTCTGACTGATCTCACTAAAAATGAAGCACCAGATCCGGTCCAGTGGACGGAGCTGTGTCATCAGGCTTTTACCCAAGTAAAGGCTGCTCTGTGTGGCGGACCGCTATTACATTCTCCTGACTTTTCTCTCCCCTTCTTGTTGCAGACTGACGCATCGGACAGAGGGCTGGGTGCAGTCCTGTCCCAGGAGATAGAGGGAGAGGAGCGGCCGGTGCTGTACATTAGTCGCAAGGTGACCCACAGGCCGGGGGCGCAGATGGCCGTGGCGGACTTCCTCTCCAGGAATGGGGGGGGGGGCTGCGGGCCGGGGGGCTCCCCGGCCTGAGTCGGGCAGTGGGGGTATGTGGCGAGGGGGGCGTGGTTCAGCGAGGTCTGCAGCTGGAGAGAGAGTTGGGAGACGAGCGGTGTGTAAGTGGGTCAAATTCAAATGACAAACACCTGTGTCTTGTTCCAGTAACTGGTGTGGAGAGACCGCATAAAGAGGCCCGGGAATGAGATGGCAGTAGGGCTGCACGATAAATCGCATGCGATATTTAATGCGCATCTTGTCAGAAAGCCGGTTCTGTAAACAGCGGTAAATCTCCATCACCTGCGGGCTTTCACATGGAGCAGCATTAACTACACAGAGCCGTTGTTCACTGACGAGCTGCGCAAAAAATCGCGCGAATAGGAACGTGGTTTTGCGCCACTCGTCAGTGATCATATTTTGCGCAGCTTGTCAGTGAACAACGGCTCTGTGTAGTAAATGCTGCTCCATGTGAAAGCACACGCACGTGGAGATTTACCGCTGATTACAGAACTGGCTTTACTGACAAGATGCTAGTTAAATATCGCATGTGATTTATCGTGCAGCCCTAGATGGCAGGCAGAGAGGGACAGACTGCTGACTGGTGTGCACGTGTGGAGACTGTAGCTGCTCTGGAGAGCCCCTATGTTTTTGCTTATGTCTTTAATCTAGATTTAAACTGACAGTGTGTCTGCCTCCCGAACAATGTTAGGTAGGTTATTCCAGTTTATAGTTTGGGCGCTAAATAGGAAAAGGATCTGCCGCCCGCAGTTGATTTTGATATTCAGTTGAGACAGTCTCTTTTCAACAGGTCAGGTCTGCCCCAAAAATTCGTCCAATTGTCTGTGAACCTATGTTATTCTGTGGCCACCACTTAGACATCCAGCCATTGAGTGATGACAGTCTGCTGTGTATCTCATCACCACGGTAAGCAGGGAGGGTACCAGAGCATATTACAGTGTTTGACATCGTACTTGCAAGTTCACATACCTCTTTAATATTTTTTTTAGTGATCTCCGACTGGCAAAGTCGAACATCATTAGCGCCGGCGTGAATAACAATCTTACTGAATTTACGTTTAGCAT